TAACGTAACGTACGTACGTACGGTACGTACGGTACGTACGTACGTAGTAGTAGTAGTACGTAGTACGTATACGTTACGTTACGTACGTACTACTACTACTCTCTCTCTCTCTCTCTCTCTCTCTCTCTCTCTCTCTCTCTCTCTCTCTCTCTCTCTCTCTCTCTAGTTGACTGGCATTTTTCTTACATGAACCAGCTCTCTTATAGGTTGCTGAAGGTGTATCAACTGCAGGCGCTGTTATTGCCTTGGCACAAAAATACAATGTAAAGATGCCAGTTTTGACGGCTGTGGCTCGGATCGTGGACAATGAATTGACTCCAAAGAAAGCTGTTATGGAACTGATGAACCTGCCTCAGGTTTGTTTGAATTCTTTTTTCACATCAATACCCTCTTTTTTCTTGGCTTCCTTGTTCTTATTGATTCGTTGGAAACAAATATTTGAGAGTGCTGATTCCTTTTTTTGCGTTGCTGGTATACTTGACTACTTGTTACCAAATTTTCATCTAAGTGATTCTATGTACATTGTATGTTAGCAAAAAGTACATATACCCTCCTTTCTGTAATTATAATCTCAATAATTCCTTAGTTGCATGGAAAGCCCATAGACCCCTTTCAAGTTAAAAAGAGAGGATGTTTAATCCCCTTCATACCTCTTTCATATTCCAAATGAGAATATTTATCTTCTTCTTTTTTACTAATGACCCGTCATCGGAATCCTAGAAAAGATCTGCTCTCCCTCTCTCTTGTCATCACCCCTAATTTCCATCATCTCTCTCATGAGCCTCGCAAGTAGGTTAAACATAGCATCCCAAATTTTATTTGGATGATGAGGTAATTAGTGAATAGAAAAAAGATAAATATTTGTAATTTGGAAAATGAAATAGGTAGAGAAAGAGTTGGATGTTTTTCTCTTTTAACTTGGAGGGATCCATGGGCTGCGTCTTTTCCTTATATGTTTCTGGTACAATTGGTAGCTTCACGCTGCACTATATTTATAGGATACCGTACATGTTACTGTTTTGATACACAATAATGCCTATACACCAAGGGAAAGTATTTTGTAATAAAGCCGCATGTAAAATTTCACTACAAAATGTAATTCCCGTGCTGGGGAACTTGTAAATCAATCATCCTGACTTTGGCAAAATGATCTCAAGCTCTAAAAATGGTGTATCTTATAACTTTTAGGGTTATCTATTTCAAGTATTAACGAATTTACTTAGCTTTCACCACTTTTGGAACTTTAAATGATGTTAGATTTGAAATCCGGTGGTTGAGGATGTGTCACTGTTTGAGCACAAAGTCCAAAATAAATTTTTTCTAATGTTGTGGCACACTTTTATATATTGGATTTCACATCCAATGGGCTAAAAGTGATTGCTTTTATATATTGGATTTCACATCCAATGGGCTAAAAGTGATTGTGACTTCCTTGTACCAAAATAAATGGTATTATAGTATACAATTGGGATTGTATGCTATGAGAAAATTTACTTTTGATACAAGGAGGTCACAATCATTTTTAGTTATTGGATCTGAAATCCAATAGGTTGAAATATCTTACAACAATCGAAAAGTTTTATTTTGGATTTTGTGCTCTATCAATAACATATCTTCAATGGTCAATAATGATTGTGACCTCCTAGAATCAAAAGCAAATGGGTTCATTGTATACATTTCTGTCCTTTCGCTGGCATATTTGAACTGATTGCATTGCATTTTCTAGTACTACTATTGCTTAAAAATGCTTTGAACTAGAGTTTTGATGGGATATCTTGCAAGGAGTGCTTGGTTGACAATTTATGAAATGGTGCATAGTATAGAGTTGTAATTATAAGGAAAAAAGGAAAGTGTTTGCATGTATGGTTCTTGAAAACCTCTAAATCGACAATCATGAATCTAAAAAACATATATTTTAAACTAAAAAATGGTTGATCTTGCACCATATTTTCTCCCTCCATTTCTAAATCTTTCCAAATCCATTGGATTTTCACCATTTTTGAAACTTCAAATCCTACGGGGTTGAAAATACATCTGCAAGCCATTACAAGAGCTTCCAACACCATAATTGCATCTTCCGGTGTGATTTCGAGGTGCAACTTTCCCAAATTTTGTACAGCCGCAACCCCGAGAAAAGGAAAAGAGGAGTTATATAAAGTTGTCATAATGTTGCAGATTGAGGAGGTGTAGGCGCCAAAGTAACAGCAAGTTTTGGGTATATACACAATTCAATCATCGTTGAGGTCTGTAAATCTTTCCGGCAAGCATGTGCACTGAAGGAGGAAAATCTTTATACCATCTAGAATTGCATTTCCAAAATGTTATTCAATTCAAATGAAAATAGAAACTGCACCGAGACTGTAAAATTTGGAACGGTTGGTCTTGTAGTAGAACATTGCAGAAATTGAAAATGTTCTCAAATGATATTGAAAATTGAGTGGTATGCAGAAGGAAAAGAGATTGCAGAAATTGCTGAAATCGAAAATGTTCTCAAATGATATTGAAAACTGAAGTGGTAATATGGGGTAAAGAGCTTCTCTCTCTCTCTCTCTCTCTCTCTCTCTCTCTCTCTGTGCGTGCAGAAATTGAAAATGTTCTCAAATGAAATTGAAAGCCGATGTGGTATGTGTAGAGTAAGATATTTCAAATTTGCCCCTGCCCAAAAAAAAAAATGATTGCAAATTTGTACTCATTGAAAATTGAAGTGGCATGGTAGAGGTAGAGGGTATAGAGTCAAAATTTGTAATGTCTCTCTCCCATATATGAAACAGTTTCAGAAATTGCACAACCCAATCATCTTCCACAAAAGTCCATGTGAAGCTGTAAGTTACATGAACAAAATCCTGGTTCATCACATGCTAAGGCCTTGTTCAGAGTAGGGGGAGAGGGATAACCCAAGCAAGTGAAACTCACTTTCTAAGGATCCATTAAAAAATTCATAACCAATGTATACATCTAATTTGACATACAACTTAAGAGAAAGAGACAGAGTCTCAATGGAAGTGACAATGGTGGTGGTGATGGTGGCGACATTCGTCGAGCCCAAAACACTGGAGAATGGGGTAGCAGGCCACAAATATGCACCTCCCTAACCCTCTAAAGAAATAAGAGATCATGAAACATGGGCAACAACAGGCCAGCAATGGGTCTTCATATGGGTTAGGGTTTCCATGGTGATGATGGTGGCCCATATTATGAACCAGTGCCAAATTTGGAAACAAAGCGGTCTCTTTCTGAATAATCAGCAATAAAATGGCAAAGAACCAGCTCCCAAAACTGGTAATAAAATGGCCACTACTCTCCAAATTTAGAAACAAAGGCTCAGCCCAAATCTAGGTAACCAAGACACAAGCCCCTTTATTGATTAGTTTCTAAAACAGGAAACCCAATTATTCCTTTGGGGACCTCTGTATCTTTCTCCTCAAACCAGTTTCAGGAACATCGACAGGAATTGAACCTGTGAACCCAATGAGGCCCTGAGAAATCAAACCAGAGACCCAAATGAACCGAAGCCTTCCAAAGACAGTAATAAAAACCAGAACTATAGAACCTTCCAAAAATAGCAAAAAAGACCTGAAACCAGAGCTCGTTCTCCACCAAAGAGCCTAGAGAAAACGAAAGGAGAGCGGATACAACTGTGGTGATAAATCAGTTATATTGTGCGAAAAGCTTCCAAAAGTAGTAGGCTTTTGCAGGCTGGAAAATAATCGCTATCAACGCGTCGAAGACGCGTGCGCTTCGTGTGTCGACGTTATGAATAAAATGGCAAATTCCAGTACGGCTCTATTTTAGGTAACCACTGCGGTAATATTTTTTTTCTTATGACTCTGCCCTTAAATAATATATATTCTACTTTCTTTCATGGAAGTAGTTTATATAACTTGTCTAACCTTATGCGCAAGGTGTATTTAAAATTTTATTTTAATGCAATAAAATATTCTAATTGATCATTTCGATTAAGTAGAGCTGAGGATTTACTTGGTTGGGATCTTAAACCTGAATTTTGAATCCTATCTCGATCTAAACAGGTGGATCCGATCTGGACAACAATGATTTCATGCAACCGTTGTATAATAATACGATGCAACAACTTTAAAAAACTATCTTATGGCCATTTGTTTTATATAAAATTTGAAATATACACTCTTTTCACTTCAAATGAACATTCACATAAAAATAAAAAATTGAAAACACAACTTAGAAAGTATTCTTTTAGTCCAAATAACATAGGTCGTTCATTTTGGTGAGATGTTTCGATCTAGGTCTTAGAATGATTTTTCCATTTTCAATTTTTTTGGATGGTTTTATTATCATTAGATGAAAAATGTTAAAAAAGAAAAAAATGATTTTGAGTTTGTAAAAGCTAAGATCTTGAAATTCACAAAATGAATGGTCTAGATTCGTTTTTGGAGGGGATTCATTTTGACCATATCTAGGGTTCAAATTAAATTCTTTTTTTGGGGGGGATTGATTATTTAGACGAAGATAGTGTGTGTGTAAAATTTGGGGTCATACAAATAGCACAAACATGGTTTTCTAGAAGTGTCGTTGCA